TACAGTCCTTCTTCATTGGCCATTACCTAGGCATCTTGGCAGGCAGAAAAATAGAGCACAACAGTGTCGGTGGTGCAGAGGGCATTGGCAGAATCTGGGATTTGAACATTCCTGTTGGTCTCACTGAGGTGAGCTCGGGCTTGGCGTCTGAATACCCCACTGCTATTTCTGCTCTCCCTGACCGGGCAAGACGAGCTGGGAAATCTCACAGCTGTGCAATGTTTAATGAAAAGGCTTTCCGTTCTGAGTTTTGCTAAGTAACAGAGCACAACTCTGCGCTGGATTTTCTCTTTCCATCTGTGACTCAGAGCCAGCTCTCTCACCTGTGGGTGTGAACATATTTTGGAAGTTAGATAAATGTGCAGTCTGTCCAGATACTGAACCTTTCCTGTTCCTAATACCTGTGGGGATGTGACTTCCACACATGCGGTTATAGACAGAGGAAGAAAGTCACCTCCGCTGGGGCGGATGGGAGGTTGAGAAAATGAAGTTCCAGCAGTTGCTTTCATACTAATTCACTCTGTAACCTTGGCATGGCATTTTACTTCATGTCTAACCTGAGGGTAGAGATATCAACACTTGTTGAAGTAGTAATCTTCAACATTTACATTTCTTGAGTGCAGGGGACTGAAACAGAGCTTCCATCAAGTAGACGGCTTTCAGATGCCTCAGATTTTGTGAACGTTCAAAATCTGAGATTTCTAATTAGTAGATTGATAGAGATTAATGAAATTTCATCATGTATTTTGATCCAACTCTTGTATTACACTCCAGAGAGCCCTCCTTGTGCCACTCAGATGCAAAGCACCAAGGCAGGTGGTAATAAATGTAAGCCATACAACTGGAAAAACACAGGAATTCAGTCAACTGTAGAGTGACGGGAAGAGTTTGGTGACAGCAGCACCAGAGCTGGGAATGGATTGTTCTTGTTATGAGGAAAATGAGGACCCAGATTAGCATATCCGAGACACAAGTATCAGATGAACACAATCACAAATATGACTGAGGGCTGAAAATCAGAGTGACTGTTAAATACTTTCTTCACATTCTTTCTCTAACCGTTATTGGAGATACACTTCAACAGTCCAATTTTAAGCTGTGTTGCAAAGTAGCAGGCTAAATTCCCTTTATATTCAAAATAGGCTCCTCTGGAACATTATTAATCTCACCCATTTTCAGTGTCTACATTATTATGAGGAGCATCTTACTATAAAAGTGCCAGCCTCTGCCTCTCTCTGCTGAGAATGAAAGTTTGAGGCAATTACCTTGGATGTGGGGGGTCTGTTGCAGGCATCTGATGTTAAGGGAGAAGAATTCCTTATCTCTTTTAGCGTTTTCATTACACAATCTCAATCTACCCTTTGTAGTAAAATACTTGCAAAATGAGCACACAAGGAGGAACTGTAGAAGGAACGTGAAAACTTCTGGACATTTTTAAGTAAGATGGTTAAATGGTCTTGCTTTGTATCAACATAAGCATTCCAGTAATTGAGGACTTGAGAATTTGGTGACCAAAGAACTCTAAGCAAGAGAGATAAAAATAGCTTTAAAAAATCTCAGTCTTTCTTTGCTTGTCAAAGACCTATTTCCAGCATCAGGTGGTAGTGAGTAAGAGTGACAGAATTTCTTACAAAGGAAACCCATTTACAGATTTCTGCTTCAGAAGGCATGCAGTTTTCCTGCTTTGCAGGGCAGAGCTGGCAAATCAGACCCAAACATAATAAATCTGTGCACACTATGGGAGTCACTGGGTGCCGCTGTGTCCTGCAGTGTGCACCAGATCTCACTGGAGGATGTAATCCCTCTGCTCTGTCACTTCCCCACTGCGCCAAATCTGTTGAAGCGATGCCCAAGGGCTTCAGGAGTGGGCCACCTCCCAGGGAGCTGTTTGGTTCTTTTGGGAACTTGGAGTCAGTTTTGTCATGAGGTTTCTGCTGCAAGTGCTCCGCATGGACACTGACCTGCTCCAAGGTCATTTTTGTTCTCCGCAACCTCAAAGAATCATGGAATCGTTTAGGTTGGAAAAGACCTTTAAGATCATCCAGTCCAACCATTAACCTACACTACCAAGTCTACTCTAAACCAATCAAGATTCTTCTTCCAGTCAAACAGTGAGTGTCCCGTCATTAGGGACATCTCTACCTGTTGTTTGGTATTTTGAAAGTCTTTGTTTCAGAGGCCAGAAGGGAGTGGGAGAGCCTCCTGCTGATATTGTGCACAGGGGTTATTGTGCGCAGCCGTGCATGGGGGCACCTGATTCGTGATGCGAGAGGGGTGTCCGGCTGACACCTCCATCGTGCTGCTGTATTTTCTTCTGCTGCCTCTAGGCTGAAAAGCAAAGATAACGTTATGGAAAGAACAAAGCAGATTCATCTTTTCTGCGTTCTTCCCTGCTTTAGTGGAGTTGCAAGAGTTTTTCTGCCGTCCACCCCCTGGTTTTTAAAACAGTTAATCTCATAAATATAATCTCGTATTAATAATGGAAGTGGCTTATCCTGATTTGGTGGGTCACATTGGCTTTTTATGTGGGTGCATGAGTGTGGCCTAAAGACTGTACGAATTGGCATTCTGGATCGGGTACTGCACTGTCCTGAATCTCTCTCAGTTGTTTCTTGTCTCTTCCACAGGAAAAAAAAAAAAAAAATCCTTTGAGTCTGGGGTGCAGTTCTTTAAATGCCGTGAAAAAAAAAAGGGGGGGGGGAAAAGAAACAACATATGATTCTGCTGACTAAGAAAACATTTTAAAACCAAAAAGGTACTTAAGAACCTGAGCTGAAATCACCATACCTCCTCTGGCCTGATGCACTTTCATGCTTCTGTGGAGGTCTTTGGAACCTTGCAGGGCTGGGCTTTGACAACAGAAGTACTGCACCAAAAATTGCAGGTGGCAGGCAGTAGTAAGAGAGACCTCAGGCCATTCCAGTCATGAGGGATGCATTGATTTATTCCCAGAATAAATCAAGTAGAGTAACAAAACAATACGTGAGATGAACATCTCTTTCATAAGCTTCCTGGCCAGGGGGAATTTCTGAAATTTGCAATGTCTTTCTTTTCTTCCCACCATGCTTGTGATCATCCTTTTTATTAAAATTTCCATGCTCTGTGTTATTGGCATCCAGCTGATAAATTCAAATGTCATTTTTCTAGAGGAATCCAAATAAAACTAGTTTAACTCTCTTTGACTTCTCTCCAAATGAAATGCTGTGACACCTTGTCTTTTTGTCAGTTATGCTCTTATTCTACATTGTTTTGTGATGGTTTATTTGCAGTAAGTAGCTCATCATCAGTACTCCAGGGTTTCACTGAATCTACGTGCCCTTTTACTGATGTGGGAGGGGTAAAAAGAAGAGAAAGCAAGCAGTACACGACCTCATGTAAGCAATATGGAGTCTGTGTACACAAAAGAGAATATTTTGGCCATATTCAAGTACAGAGAAATTGCTGTCTGCTTACAGAAGAGATCAGAAAATTTATGATAGTTCAGATTGAGGCAGTGAAGATTGCAAATGGAGATTGAATTAATTTCATAACTTGTCCCTTTCTGTTGGCCTACACAAGAAAACACATGGTAACAAACTAAATATAACAAACAAAATATAAGGTAACAAACTTGAAACCACAAAGGAACAACTGCCTTTTAACCAACAACAAAAGGCAGATGAGAAAAGCTCAGTGTTCAAATCCTGCTACCTCTGTGAATCGCAGCAAACCGCCATCCCCTTAAAGATACATGAGAGAGCTCTGCAAAATCTTCAAAGCTCATTTCAAGGGGAAACACAAAGGAGTGAACCGGTGGCCGTTTCTCATACTGCTTTGAGAAGTGCTTTCCACCCTTATGTAAGTCTGCTACCTCTTTGGATCAGTTTCTCTGTAAATTCAGAGCACCTTCAGACTGCCTTGGTCAGAAATGAATGTTTGCACGGAGGCTTTTTACTTTCTGGAAACACTTTGGGATGTAGCTTCTGTCAAAAGCACATTGATGTTTTAAAGCCTTTTGAAATGTTGGCACATTTCCTGCGGTTCGCTGCTTTTGCACCATCTGGCAATTGAAATCTTCTCATCGCCGAAGAGGTTTTAGAAGGCATAATGCAGCCACGCTTGTCACTCAAACCAGATCCGACGGGGTCAGTCCTTAGGAAACAAGATTAAAACCTCTGAGTAACCTTCGGATTCATTCGGTCCCTGGTGTGTGTTTTGTGCTTCAGGCCTTGTCAGCAAGCGCAGGTATTGAATCGCTACCAGGCGTTCTGGTGGGGTAGCCCTTAGGAGACCAACGATAGTGTCTCTCAACACTTGCCCGCTGCAAAATGGATTGGCAGTCTCCAGGCCTCAGAATAAGTGGTCGGTAAAGTTTTGTTTTGTTAGACTGCGGTACAGCTTCGTAAAGGCAGTAACTCGTGTGCTGTTGCTATGTGAAGTCACATCAAGCTCCGTACGTAGAGGTGCGTGGGCTCTAGTTTTGAACACGCGGTTCAAGTTCACATTGCAGCCCTTAGTAGGATAGCAGGATCTCTTTCATCTATGCTTTTATTTTTCCAGTGGACTCTGGCATGACGATTCTATGATTCTATGTGGTGAGGCACTGGAACAGGTTGTCCAGAGAGGTAGTGGAGGCCCCATTCCTGGAAACATTCAAGGTCAGGTTGGACAGGGCTCTGAGCAACCTGGACTAGTGGAAAGTGTCCCTGCCCATGGTGGGGAGTTGGAACTAGATGACCTTTAAGGTCCCTTCCAACCCAAACCGGTCTGTGATTCTGTGGTCTGTGTTTCTGTGTATGAGAAACAAAGGTATTTTGGATGTGACTACAAAGCACACCAAGCTCCAGCCTCTTCAGGGTGTGGCAGGGATCTGGATTCGATCCCGCTGTGTTGGGTTACAGGCTGCCGTCGCATGGGGTTACTGCTCGCGGTGTTAGAAAACTTGGTTTGATCCGACTGCAAAGCAGGGCCCGGGATTACCGGCTGGCTGTAAAACATTTTGCTGTTTTTATTGTTCTCAGGGTGGAACCTGCACTTACCCGCATCAAAGAAGATCGAAAGCGGATCATCTTACCAGCAATTGACAATATCAAGTACAACACTTTTGAAGTGCAGCAATACGCCAACGCAGCCCACGGCTATAACTGGGGCCTCTGGTGCATGTACATAATCCCGCCGCAGGACTGGCTCGATAAAGGGGATGAGTCGGCTCCCATCAGGTAAATCTCCCATGCGCTGTCTTTTCAGTACTTGCAACGTTTCTGTCTCAGCTGTCTGCCAAGGGGGGATTTAGGTGGAGCGAGGCCGTAGGCTTTCTACAGGGACAGCGAAATGAAACTGGAGAAAACAGATGGCTCGACAGGGCTATGGATGCGCGTGTCACATCTCGGAGCAGCACCGTGACGTACGTAGAGGTGCGTGGGCTCTAGTTTTGAACGCACGGTTCAAGTTCACATTGCAGCCCTTAGTAGGATAGCAGGATCTCTTTCATCTATGCTTTTATTTTTCCAGTGGACTCTGGCATGACGATTCTATGATTCTATGTGGTGAGGCACTGGAACAGGTTGTCCAGAGAGGTAGTAGAGGCCCCGTTCCTAGAAACATTCAAGGTCAGGTTGGACGGGGCTCTGAGCAACCTGGACTAGTGGAAAGTGTCCCTGCCCATGGTGGGGAGTTGGAACTAGATGACCTTTAAGGTCCCTTCCAACCCAAACCGGTCTGTGATTCTGTGGTCTGTGTTTCTGTGTATGAGAAACAAAGGTATTTTGGATGTGACTACAAAGAGGCTGGCTCCACTTTTGGTCTGTAGGCAGCACTCTTGGCCATCAGCGCAGGCCAGGGCTTCCCAGCAGCACTAGGAGTAGGAGATGTGTTAGCCTTGCCTCCTTGGAGAGTTGCTGTTTTTTTGGAGAACTTTGCGTATTTTCTGAGTTTTCCTCCTGGATGAATTTTAAAATGAAACTGGGCCATGTAGTCAGAGTGTCATGTTGTTTTTCTCTATAAGGGAACATTTTACCTTACAAAAATAGAATTTCCTAAGGAAATACCATTTCAGGAATTGTGATAGCGGTTTTGAGAATTGTTACAGCGGGAAAACAGGAACTGATAAGAAAGGGTCTGTCTCTCCCCTTCATTTGAAAACTCCTATCTTCTAGCCCTTCATCTCCAGGGCAGATGCTTGTCTGACAGCTCCTGTGAGATGCACGGTGCTGGGTGAAGGATACTGTTGTTAGCAACTGTTGAAATAAATGCTAAACAATATGAAGCCCAGGTGTGCACTTTAGGTTGCTCTGCCCTATTTTTGAGATTTCTTAGGAAGGGCACAAATTACCGCCTTAGAGTCATTTTGATGCCTATCAGGTTCATCCTGAAGTAAGCTAAAACTCTGTTGTATGGTCCCAACATAGGCTCTGGCAGAGGAGCTGCTCTACTTCCCTTCCAGTGTAGAGCTGGAGCTGTCAGGTTCCGAGAGGAGCAAGGTCCCAAGATCCAAGTGCTTCAAACAACGTCCCCAACTGAAAGGATCCAAGCAGTCTTTTGGAATTGAAAGGACGCGGACGAACTGTTCACATTTCTAAGGGACTGGTTGGATGGGGCCATCTGACAGGATCTGCCCCTCATACAGAGAGTAATGTTCCAATCCGTATTTGAACAAGTGTTGCAATTTGCTCTTAGGTTCATTCTCATGCCCTGTGGCTGCAAAACAGGGCTATACAGTCCCATTAACCTTATTTACCACAAGACAGCTCAGTCCTTCATCACTGACCCTTTGCTCAGCCTGAAACCTCAATAAGCAGGAAAGTAATTACTCAGGAAATCAGTTTTCCTGGATAACATGCCCAGCTCTCCTCACATTGTTTTAAAAGTGCAGGTGGTTTATATCTATTTCACTCAGCCCTGAGAAGCAGTTTATTGATGAAGGAAAATTAATCAGCCAAAGCTTTCATTCCTGAAATCAGGGTTTCAGTCTTTTATTCCTGAAAGGTTTTGTACACCTCATTACTTCCAGTTTATATGTGAAATCACTGTATTAATTTTCACACGAGCTGTTCTAGTATTTGAGTATCTTCCGACGACAATGATCACATCTCAGATAAGACTGAACTAAGAGGTTAAACCTCAGCAAGTTCCTTAGGCATGACTTTCAGTGGTGGTAGCTTGTGCATGCCCTGAAGTATGGAAGCTGCATCTGCAAAACTGTTTTGGAAATTCAACTACAGATCTTATTAACGGAGAATAAAGAATCTCATCTCTCTACTGCTGGGATAAGAGGCATTTTTTCAGCAATACTGGGTCTGATTTACCATGGGCTTTCCTCAGGTTCATGTTCAAGCTTTTGCCAGAGTTATACTGGCGCTGAGTTGGACTGATACAGAAATGAATAAGGTCCAAACTCAAGCACTGAGTAGCGCTGAAATCTGATGCACATAAGTAGCTGGCTCCTGAGAGCAGCGATTTTATTCTGAACCCGAGTGAAGAAACCCTCCAGTTCAAGAGTGCATGAACTGCCCAGGGACAGATGAGACAAGCAGCACAAGGAGGAGAGCGCCCAACCCTTGCTGGCAAATATCAGGAGCAGCGAGACATCGTGATTGCAAAAGTATCTCTCCCGCAAATTATGAATTACATGCCCTAAAAGGCAGAGATTTCAACGTCGAACCGTGAAGACTTGCCTGTCTCCCTGGGAACATGGGCTTTGGGAGGCAGGGATGTAGGAGAGCGCTTTGTAGCCACACCGCACTGGTTTCTGATGGGCCTCTGAAGCAGCAGCACCTGGATGGATTTGCTAAAGCGTTTGGCTGCGCTGTTGCGTTATGCCTGCCTATAGAAATACAACGCAGTTTTGTGGCTTTTAAGTGATACGCCAGTGTAATTATGGTAATAGAAAGAGCGAACGTGCGAGTGCTGTTGATGAAAAGAATCAGGAAGTCTGTACTTAGAATTGGGATTTGAAAGCACCCATGATGGGAACTGAGTAGCTGTAGAAAGTTTAAGGTATATTTTCAAAAGGAAGGGGAAGTTGGACTGGCACACAAACTTTTTCAAAAATCCCTGTAGCTTTGGTAGAGATGTTGGTTTTGTAACCAGCTTTCCAAGCCATGTAACTGCAACCATGATTTCTGTTTCAGCCCAGTTTGCAAGGCATGCAACCGCAGTGCTGGTGTTTGGATCCGTGTGTCTGTTCGGTGCATTCCTAAGATTGCTGTTCATCAGCATGAGAACTGCAAGTTCATTTAGTGCTTGCTGACACTGTCCCTCTTAAGGCTGCCTTTGACATCGTCTTCAGCAAATGGTTGGTTTGGGTTTTGTCTCTCTGTGTGTTTTGTAAAAGAAAAGGCTAATAACCCCGTGAGTGGTTTTGTGGTTAGCGTAGCTGAATACTCCCTCCCAGATGTCCAAAGGGATTAAAGATTTTCAGTGTTAAAAAAAAATGCGTACCCTGGTATCAGTGAGGATCAGAGCCCTGGCATTTCTGATGTTTGCATTGTTTGAATAAATATCATCGATCTGCGGAATTGGGTGAGACATTTAGAAAGTAGAGTCCAATTCCTGGTTTCTTCTGGGATTACACAACAGATGTGCTTACTTCTTATCTCAGAAGTTTTCTGTTTGAAGCCAGATCCTCTGCTTTCTTGAGCACTAACGGTGGTGTGATCCTACTCAGAGCCTTGCTGGGAAGGAGCAGGAGCTGTCAGTGGGGCACCGTATAGGCAGTCATGTCAAGTGCACACCATAAAACGTCAGATCAGCTGTTGTGGTCCAAGGGACAACGGGGATGTGGCCTTGAAGTGCAAACAAAGGTAAAGAAATAGCAAGAACAAAGTGTCAGATTTTGTAAAGATTTCTGATACGGTTTTAAGTCCGTGCTTTTTTTTTTTTTTCCCCCACGTTAATACTCTGAAATTCAGAACAATTGATGTTCCCCGAATTGGCTTCTAGCAGGCAATCCATTTTGCATGTTTGACATTTGAGATCTAAGATGTCTCTTACGTGACAATTGAAATGAGGATTGCTGTTTTGACACGCTGTGTCCATCACGTCATTTTCCATTCGTGTTCCGGAGAACACGCTGCCCAAAAGCGTCCTTATCATCTGGCAACAAACTGTGTATCAAAGGATCCTGTTTCAGAGGGTTTCTAATGGATTTGACTATGCATTGAAACGAGCTGGGTTGGGTTTTTTTTTTCTGCATGCAGAAGATACTACTGGGTTTTGGAACAGCAAGGAAGGTTTCTGGTATCCCGAGCTCTGGCTCGTCTTCCCTCACCTGCCGTGCTTATGATGGACTGCTCTGTGTTTGATTTCTTGATCAGCAGCCACTAACATTAGAGTCATTAGTCAGCCTCGCTCAGCCAAGCGCTGCGCAGCTTTCCATTTTATCTTCCTCCAGCAGCAGTGGTGCGTTTCATCGTTGCATATGTTCTCACTTATTGCGTTAATACGCCGTAGCTTGGTACCAGTAGGAACGTGTATGCACAGGCGCTGAAGCAGCCACTCGGGAAAGCACGCGTGTCTCGCTCACGTATATACATTAGCGCCTGATATGCCCGCAGTGAAGCGGTTTGTGCTGCCTGCTTTTGCTGGGAGCGTGTGCGCCCTTCTCACGTGCAAGCCGGGCGCCATGCTGGTCTGTCGGAGCGGCGGTGATGCAGCCACGTTGGGTCTTTGCCGCTCTGGGAAGAAATCCATCTATGTACCTGAGCTTAGGAAGGGGATCATCGATAAAGTCTTTCAGGATAAACCATTGTCGTGGTTCAGCTCCAGGCAGCAGCTCAGCACCACGCAGCCGCTCGCTCACTGCCCCTGCCCCGGTGGGATGGGGGAGAGAATTGGAGGAGTAAGAGTGAAAAAAACCACTCCTGGGGTGAGATAAGAACAGTTTAATAATTGAAATAAAGTAAAATAGTAATGATAATAATAACAATATACAGTAATGATGATAATAATAACAATATCCAAAGCAAGTGATGCCCAATGCAATACCAACCAATGCCCAGCCAGTTCCCGAGCAGCGGTCGCCGCTCCCCACGGATGCCCCACAGAGGTACGTTTTTTGGAACAGGCAGGATACCCGTCAGGACCCGGACAAATAAAAAAGAAACTGCTCTGTTACAGGCTCCTGTGAACCAGCAACTGAAAAGATGCCCATAATTAATCAATAAACAGTCACCGGTTTTATTATTGCATAACAGCATGGTTGTCCCAGTTTCAGCTGGGATAGA